GTTCTGTCTTGGTGTAAATTAATCTATTATATGTATGTATTAATAGAAATATGTAAGTATGTTTATCAGCAGTCTGATTACCATAACACAGGCTCTGCCTAGTTTTGGATCAGATGGTCGTGTTTGTGATCTGTGAGATTATTATTAATTCAGTATTCTTACAAATATCGAAATCTATATAATATATTGTATTTAATTATTGTTGCCATATTTGACAAATATTAAAATGAAATTTTACATAATACCAGTAATACTTCTTTTTAAATAAGTCTGAAACATCGTCATTACAATGTTGAAATATGATGCGCATTTTAATTTGACCGCTTTGCGGTTTCGCATTGAAATATTTTGAATTTGAAAGATTTTAGATACTACAGACTATTACAAAAACAGAAATAGCTGTTGGCATATTCAACGTGTCGAAATCCAAACTTCAACCTTGTAATAAAAGTTCGGTCACTATTCAGTTCCGATCAACTTTCGATATCCTAATTGTCATAAAAGGTGTTTTTGTAGTAAAATAGTAAAGCATTACTAAGACTAGCAGATTGCCGGTTCATTTTACGGTTACAGTACGGTATAAGTACATTACACTCAAACTTGGATGTTTAAAACTTTATTACGATAATACCTTTCATGAATTTCAGTTGTGAGATCGAGAGTTGGTCGGAATAAATGAATTGTGACCAAATTTTTATTCCGAGAATTGGCCTTCTGGTCAATTTAGAATACGCTTATTGTACACAAGTGACTTTAAATTTTGTTTTAGAGTAAGCAATGTAGACAATGAACTATCCCTATTTATCTCAGTCATCCGAGTTGTGATCGGCAGCAACATTCTTCACCTCACACACTTGATATTAGTGGACGACGGGTACAACCGTGACGGCCATATGACTCATAAATCCTATATGTAACTGGGTACAGTCAACAAAAGAAAGAATAAGAAAGTGAAAGAGGAGAAACGGAAGAAGTTGCTGAAACCTTAAAGGTTAATATAAACATATTGAGTGGCAAAATATTCGGGCAATAATATAACTACTTATTTTTTCCAATTCTCTCTTTGCTCTTATTTACTTATACATGCTGTGTTATGGCGCTTTTTATTATTGTCACGCTTGTATTTTTATGTTAGAGGGGGCAGAGGAGCAGATGGGTCACCTGATGGAAAGTGACCATCGCCGCCCATGAACGTCTTATGTCAGGTCATTGACTTGATTTGTGACTAAAGGTTGGAGTTCAGTTCCAGTAATCCAGAACTGAACTCGACTACATCTTAATTATATGTCACAATATTTTAGAAATACCCTTTAAAATGTTTCACAGTGAGGTCACATCTTTTATGCTAGAAATCTCTAACTTCTCGAGATCAAATTGTAGAGGTGTGGTCCAGAGATGAAGCTAGCGTTTTCATAAGATATTACTACTATTAAAGGGTCAGTAATCATGCACATATAAATTGACTCATTTTTATTGAGCGACTTTTAGCGTCACGTCAATACGTAACGATGACTAATTAGTCATACAGACTTTATTTAGGCAGAGAATATGTATTTCGCTTTAAAAGGTATATTTTAACTAAATTCTAATCAATGACAATCACGGTTGTACTCTCATAGTATATTACAATCACACTTAACATCAACATTTTTGTATATTTCGATTAGCTCATACAAAATCTAATTATATACCTTACACTAGTTTACAATTAGATCGACAGTCGTGCGTCACAAATCCACGGCGCCTACGACTTTGTAGAAAGTAAAAACAAATTATATTTTATAGTAAATACTTCAAAAACGTTGTTGAGAACTGTGCAAGTGACGTTTGGATATTGCTGCGTTTATGTAAATAGATATAATAAAAAATATTTTACTAATATTTGTTTTATTTTAAAAATAGATGTCGCTCATGCTCAATACACACAAATTGGTCATGTTCACCGGTTATTGAGAGCAGGTGGATGTTTATTATAGTCTGTATACAAACGAAGACTATATTGTTATTATTGATACTTTTTTATAAAAGGCTCTAAAAAACAAATGTTCTTTAAAAAGCATGTTTTAAATCTGTCTAGGTCTCCACTTTTGCTTGCTTGTAGGATTGTAGTGTCTGTATTTGAAAAAAGAAGCTTTCTCGTTAATGGGTTAAAGTTAGTTGACTGACATGTGCTTGCATTGCATTCTCATCTCAAATTTACATATATGATGTATATATGGATAAAGATTTATATGTAAATATTAACATAAACGCAACACAGCCTCACAATGAACACCCCACTTCGCTATAAACATACAAAAAGAGTATTTACATGCATTCGTTCATAATGTCACTATCAAACACTAATTTTATTAAAAAAATTGTGCTAACTTGGGAAAATGTCAATATTTTTTGGACTTAACTGTTTTTTATGTGAGGTTTTTACAAAACCTTTAATTACACCGAAATTTTTATTTGCAATAATATACATAAATAACTTAAATTGTTAAAAATGCAGTAAAATATGGCCTCTCCATTTATCAAAATAAATACGTAGAATTTCTCATTCACTCCATGATAATCTTTTTACTCCTACTCATCATTCTTTGGACACGATTTCAATTTGGTATGTTAAATACCAAACATTACATTATAATTATTTATAAGAAATAATACAAAGACAGATCTATCACTAGGGGCTGTGTAAAACTGTACCAAATATAAGTTTTCTGAAATATATTCAGTATGGCTCATACTTATACACTTTCTATCCTCGTATAACATACATATTCTACAATATATCCCATATCTGTATATATTGTTACATTGTCAAAATCGCGCAAATCAAAGCCAAGAACGACCAACTAAAAATATTTCAGAAAACTTAAAAGTAGGGGGTACTTTTAAAATTAAAGAAATGCAGTTCCTTTTCAGCGAGATTTAGTTAAGCGGAAGCTACTATAATTATACCTACACACTAGTTATATTTAAAAATTATATTGAGATAAAAAGGTGATAATTTGTACATAAATGTTGCGTAAACTTTTACCTTAAAGAAAAACTAGAGTAGCTTTACAAGCATAGAAGTTATCGTAATAACTGGAACGAAGTTCCTCATCGCGCGTTACACGATCTGATCGGATGGGAGCGAGACCGAAAAATGTGTAACAAGACTTTTTTCCGACACTTCTTGCGGAACTTCGTTCCGACCGGGGATCCGTAGACCACTCGCGCCGTTTTTTTGCACAGTAAAGTGTTTAGTTTCATTAAAATATTCTTTTAAATTAAAATTGTGTTAAAGGATCATGTTTTCCATAGACACATTCATTTCTTGTTGCAACTAGTTCGATTAATAACATGTTTAAACACGTAAACATTAAAACACAGAAGAATAAACATGCCTACACATGATAAAGATGTTACAGTACATTGAAAACACCAATAATAACATTTAAAATTTACGCTTATCATATATTTTACTAACAACATCACACAATAATGTAACACTCTATATTACATTTATATTAATTGTAATATCTAATATGGCATGAGATTTATTTTCATGTTTTTAGTTCATTATAACTTCTATGCCAATAAAGCCAAATGAATTAAATATATAAATTCGTAAGCAAGATATAAATTTGTCCAAAATGTATAAAAGCACCTACACTGAGCAGTAGGATATAGTATCAAACTATGTCTAAACACAATGTATTCCTAAATACATATAACGGACTAAAATAATAAATTCTAATCTCACTGGAATTGTCAATATCACAAACACTGCCAAATAATAAACGAACTCGCCAATTTGAGCTCTAACGTCTTAAAGTTAAAGTTGTTTTAGATTTAAAATTTGCGTATGTTCACTTCAGAGGGCTTTGTTACTCCGAGCTCGATAAGTGGAACTGTTTGCCTTGTAATATTTGTTAGTATTAAGTCTTAAAGCTGACATTTTACTGACTTATTCATTTTGCTTTTTCCCGCGGCGTCACTCGCGTAAAAACAATTTTTCGATTCCTCGCAAAACATACTTTTTCTGTACGAAAGGTAACTGACGCCTTTTGCTGTATCCATGACACAGGGTAAGCAAATTTCCATGATGATGTATTTTAATAAACATAAATTTTTATATTTAACATTAATTGTCAGTGAAGTTCAATTTGAAATTTAGGCATCATTGTTCTTATTATTTTGGTCCGTTACACAGATTGTCAAGGTATCATTAATTGTTTAATTAACTAATTATCGCTCAACAGAGAACTATATAAATTACACCAAATATACAAAATGTATACTTAAAATTACACTTAAATGTATATTATATGTATATGGTTGGATACGGCCTCATTTTTGTAAAGGAATAGGTAATAATTCCTTTTTTTTTTGTTATTGTAGGCCTTCATGGCGTTATGATAAGAAATTGTACATGTAAAATATACATAACATACTTATGTACCTCCATTTTGACTTGAAAATAAAAATAAAAAATCAGCATTCCTTAGTCATATATGTCCTAATTAAAGCTTCACATATATGCCAAGAACTCTTTTCTATTATACAATGTCATCAAATAATTTTATAAACATTAGATGCATTGAATAAAACATCGTTATATGTTTTTAAACAGTATGTCTGTCTGTTTGCACTTATATAAGCACAGAGCATTTTAATACTTTATAAAAAAAATAATTAAATAATAACATTTGAAATATTTCTAAGATTTTTTTGATTCAGATGTTTAATATGACTAAGTGTAGGAGGCGTTTATCCGTTAACTTTTGCAATTTTGTTGTACATTGGGCATACGCTTAATATAATACATGACGTCAACCATTTGTGTAATTCCATTCCTGAGCTCATATTAATCCCCATCTTAGGAGTACATACAAAGATAAAGGAATGCGTTATCTTAGAGCTCGTTTATAATTAATTACAGGTCGATTCATACATTTATTTGGAATATTCACAAGACCTTTTGAAGGTGTGTCAGTTGGGTGCCCAAACAGTCGGTGATGTGTTTAACTGTCTTCTAGTAGGTTGTGTAGCTCTGCGTAATTTAGTATGGCACGGTACAGGAATTCGTATTGTAACTGGAATGAAATAATATTTGTTAGGTATAGATAGAAAGGTAATAGAATTAGTTATACCAGGGGTTCCCAATCTTTTTCAGCCCGCGGTGCACTTCTGCACACTTTTTTTTTTTTTCAAGTTTAGTTATTTGTAATGACGCCCTCAATTAGATAACTACTTGAAATATATACAAGCGCAAGAAATAGGTACCCACAATAATAGTGGCACAAAAATTAAAACATCCACAATATTAAACTGAGTTTTTTAAATTTTCTGAAAAATGCTAACAGTGCGTTGTTAAGTACTGAGGCTTGTTGAGTGAACCCGTTTTTTGTTTTTGTTAAATTGTGTAATTTCCGGTAAACACACTTTGGGAACCCCGGAGTTATACATTCTAGTCAGTATTAGTAAGTTACTTTTAGTTTCTGTGAGCTTTTGGTTTCCAGATTTTTTAAATGGAATAGAGTTTTGTTAATGCATGCACTATTTTTAATTCGTAAATTGGACAGAAAGAAGTCTAAGAGTAAATAATGATAAAGTCTAAGAGTAAATAATGATAAAGTCTAAGAGTAAATAATGATAAAGTCTAAGAGTAAATAATGATTAAGATGGCAGTCTATATTTACCGTTCTTAACTTTAATAATTAGCTTGTTTAATATCACTACAAAAAGATTTTAAATTTCGAGTGAAAAAAAAAAGAATAAGAACGGTAATTTTATTGCTTATTACTGCTTAAATAGTTAAATTTAAATGTTTCATTTTAAGTAGTAGGAATGGTCCTTCGAGCTCCCACCGCGCTCGAAGGCCCACGACACAGCGAGCGACTTACGAAAGTGTCGATGGTGCGCGCCCGCTGCGCGCGCAGCGTCCGCGCGGCGCCGCCGACGTCCACCTTGCGCTCGCAGCGCAGCTGCTTGATCAGCCCGCACAGCGCCACGAACAACGGCGACCGCTCCGTTCCGAACCTTAACACATATTCGATCGTTTTTTAGTTTAGATTGGGAGCAGTATTAATGTAAGGTGAAGAGATACATACTGGCAGTGCACGAGCATGGTTCCCTGTTGGTCGGCGCGCAGAGCGGCTCCGGCGGCGTCGGCCAGCTCGGCCAGGCCGCGCGTGACCTCGGGCACGTGGCCGCGCGCCGTGGGCCAGCCCTGGTACTGCAGCTGGCGCACGTACGAGCTGTCGCCGTTCTGCGGACACGCCACACGGTTAGCGCTCTCTCCCTTGTTACTATAAGCCAACGCTAGCTTCTTCCGCCGAGCCTTGGTTACTAGGTTGGTTGGTAACTAGGTTGGGGTCGGCTTTAAGTCTACAACGATACGGCTGATCCTCGATTTTTTAAGTGGAGCGACTGCCATCAGACCTTCACAACCTAAGTACTAAGCGATATCGAAGTTCTGTAGAAAGACTGTTGTTGAACTTTTAAGGGCTCCGACTACGGGTGTAACGATTATCACAGATGTTTGTATGGCAACCGCGACCGACGGTGTAACGCACTCTCCGAGGCACTGAAAGCGTAAACCGTAAGCTAACGCTTGATAAAATTATTAATTTACGTGGTTCTACACACAGTTCTACAGTGTATCGAATACCATTCTTAAAAATATGAGAAACCTCAGGAAAGCAAATTTTACATTAAATTAATAAAGAAATACATATGTTACTAATTTGACTATATCGCAAGTTTTCTGAACTGAATCAACTCAATTTTAATTATAAACATCTATCCTAAACATACCTATTCATATTATAGGTATCATCATTATCGTACAATATATTTACTAACCTTTTCATTCACAACTCTAAACTGCCGCCTCGTATAATAAGGACATGACTCGCTTTCTTCATAATGAACCGACATGTGTTCATACTCCGCTGTGCCGTCGTCCCAGTACCGAGGGCATTTGCCTTCGCCAAGCTGCAGATACGATAATCAATTATTTTTATTGAATTCATATTACTTTAAACAGCCAAGAAATACACATGAATTAGGAATCTAAATCAAAACAAGACAGCAATACTGGGCAGTATTGCCGTCTTTTTTTCAGAGATTGCAGTGACGTCATGAATGGCGTACTTATAGAGGTGAACCTTCCAAACCTGGACGTAGCTTCTTGTCTTTTTCTTCTTATTAAAAACTATAAATAATTATACATATGGCCCATTGCTCATGGGTGGCATAGCTGTGTGAAAATAGATGTCTTGTAAAAGATACATTTGCCGTTTTCCTCATATATATATATATATATATATATATATATGAGGAAAACGGCAAATGTATCTTTTATATATATATATATATATATATATATATATATATATATATATATATATATATATATATATATACTAGCTGACCCGCGCAACTTCGTCTGCGTCTCTCAATAGTAATAAATTTTCTCCGTTATTGAAACATTCTTCATTGTTGCTCCGCTCCTATTGGACTTAGCGTGATGATATATAGCCTATAGCCTTCCTCGATAAATGGGCTATCTAACACTGAAAGAATTTTTCAAATCGGACCAGTAGTTCCTGAGATTAGCGCGTTCAAACATACAAACAAACAAACTCTTCAGCTTTATAATATTACTAGCTGACCCGGCGAACTCTGTTCCGCCTTAAAGGCAATAAATAAGCCGATTTTCGAATTTAGTAAGTTAATTTTTTCTTAGAAAAAAAAATGAAGTACATTAATCATTTATTATTGTTTCTGCATTTTAGTACATAGGTTGCTCTTCACTTAAGTACCTTGTGATTCACGACCAAAAACAAACAACGCAGATGGTCTTCCGAATCGTGAACATGCCACATATAATTGACCATGGGAAAAACATGGATGTTCGTAAAAAACAAAGTTCGTAAAAAAACAAAAAAAAAAAACACTGTCGAACGGAATAAATAGTATCCTATGTCCGTCTCCTGGCTCTAAGCTACCTCCCCACCAATTTTCAGCCATATCTGTAAAGCCGTTCTTGAGTTATAAATAGTGTAACTAACACGACTTTCTTTTATATATATAGATATATATATGAGGAAAACGGCAAATGTAATAAAAGGAGACGTCAAAAAAACTACAGGGACAAATTGGACCGGCACAAAACGGTTAGATGATGATCTTAAAATAGGCTTACACAATATATTTGAGAAGGTTTGAGAAGAAGATATAATAATCTGCTTTAAATACATATCTTGTCCAACTTACCTCACTCAGCATGACTATGGTAGTGACGTGATGTTCCGACACCATTCGCCAAAAGTCTAAGATAGTATTTGGTAAAGGATCTTGTGTGATTATAAATGTTTCTACATTGTCGTAAGCTGAAAAGGAAGGAAATATTTTTGATGTTGATAATATAATAATAATAAAATTAATAATGACCTGGTTTGTTTAAAATGTTACATTATGGCAGCACAGATCGAAAAATTGTAAAGAAGTGTAGTTCTGTATAGATGGAATCAATTTTTCGTGAGTGTCTTTAGATCATGTTACCAACTGTGTGTGTACGCAAGAATTATGCCTGAACATCTTCTAAGGACGAGACTAGCTCTATATACAATTCGCATATCAGTCGCTTTACTATTGGATATTATGGATGTTTTAAAATAAGTTCCAATCTCTATGAATGCTATAACTTTTGCTAAACCTCATAACCTTATAAGAATTTAGATCAGTAAAACAGTGTGCATTAGGAAAATATGTTTAGTGTCTAGAGCTTACTGCATTACCTCGGCATTGAACATATAAAATAAGTATTCCCTGACTCAACAAAGATACTGCGATGATATTGTGTTGGATACTTACCTTCAATGAAAGATGCGTTAATATACGCGGAGTAATCCCTCCCGGGGATTGGCGTCAGCATGACGCGGTTTCTGTCATAAGGTAAATAGTCTGCATTTCGATTCTTCGCCCGTAATTCTTCAGCAGCGGCCGCTGCCATAGGCTTTGGGGGATCCATCACGGGATTAACGAGCATTTTCTGAAAGAAAATTAAATAAATGAAACAAAGAAAATCAATACTTTGTGGGAAAATACTCAGGTAGTTTTGATATCCTTATTACCAGTGTCTGCTACAGAAAATTAGGTTTAATAGTAGTCTCCAATTATTGAATCCGATTATCTGATATATGGAAGATAACTTCCTCAAATAGATATCTACTGTATCCTACCTCCTAAAACTTACCTTTCATCAAATAAACAAACAAATAAAATAATGATTTTATTTGCTTGTTTATTTGTTACGTCTTAATTCCTTTCTCATGCAATTTTTCATATATCGGTAAGGGCTGCACTAAAGTGCCTTGAGATGAATACCACACGGACAACCATAATAGCATATTGTATCATAATAGGACATAACTAATTTATGTACTACGAATAACTTGTGCTCTTCAATTACGGAATTGAGGCAGTTTTGTTACGGGTCGGGGCTGTTATGTGAAGTTAGCTTATAACACATGGAAGAACTTACCTCAAACTCATATTCCATGAGACATTTGTCAGCGCCTTCAGGAGTGTTACGCAGCTTGTCGACGGCCGGCTTCAGTTCTGAAGCGTTTATTTCCGTGTCTCCGAAGTGCGCGTACTCGACTAGCGCTCGGTATACGAATATGTATTGCCTCTGTAAAAGTAAACAAAATTATTCGTCTATTCTAAGATTTACTACCTATAATAAAAACTACTTGACTTATTTTGATAAAATTTGTCTGAGCACATGTTTATAGGTTACATACATTAGGCTTACAACATTTTTTTAAACAGGATCATGATCAGATTAAGGAGGTTAGACCTCCTTAATCTGATCATGTTTTCACATGTTTTTTCTTTTTTTGGTTTTTGCCACTAAAGACTGTTTTTAGTATAGGAAACTTTCATTTCGCTTTTTATGATCATAGTTAAAAATCCTTAGTTTTGAATATCTTTGAGGACGTCCCGAAAAGATTTCATATTTATATCGTTTATTTAATAAGTTATATCACTGATAAACCCGAGGCCTTATTTGCTTTAGAATATAAACCTATATTTTTACTGTCGTTAAAGTCGCTGAAAAACAATAATAAAAAAAGACGAACGGCAGAACGAACCAATGACTGTACGAGGAAATTCCTTTGTCTCCGCAAGTCAGCGACTGTGTTGAAAACAGACACCTGTCCGGTCTCACGAAGCTGGTCTAGCAGCAAGTCCACGGCCACCAGGGTGCCGGTGCGGCCCACGCCCGCTGAGCAGTGCACCACAAGTGGTCGACCAACCACATTCGACCATGACTCGTTGACCCTCTGGAAAAATTACCGATAAACATTTTAAGTCGTCTTTAGCCTGCTAAGTGGAGTTCAATAAGTAGTAATAGATGATATGCACTGTAACCCCAGTTGTCGCTAATTAATGTAATGTCAAAAAGACCTTTATAATCATTTCAGTTGATTTACATCATGTTCTTTGAAAACATTGATATCCCGATGCAGGATGATTTGCGTATCGCAACAATCGCAGAATACCAGGCCCTTTTAATGCCCCAAGATAATAACAGTATGTGTAGTAATGAATTATAACCTTGATGAATCTGAGAACGCAATGTGGATGTTCAGGCGCGCCGAAGTCCTTCCATCGGAGGAAGTGGAACTGGCGCACCGTGCGGCTCTCACCGCACTCTTTCACCTCTCGCGGAGATGTAGGCGCACTCGTTTCTGAATGTCCATCTTTTATGTCTAGAAATTACAAAGAGGCAAGTCACATATAAACTTTAGTTACCGTAAATAGACAGTAGTCTTTCATAATTATTATGTTATTTCAAACTATTAAGATTTGTACATGGAGTTCGTTTATATTTTATACACAAAGAAGCCGAGTGAATTTGGCTTTTATACGTGCACTAGTTTTATACACATCATCATCATCAACAGCCTATAACAGTCCACTGCCGGACATAGGCCTCTCCTTAGGGAGGTTTTGGCCTACTATACCACGCTGGCCAGACAGGTTGGTATAATGTTTGTTTCAAGTTTTCCTTCTCTTTGCAGTGCTGTTGTCTTGCGTAGTTTGCTCCCTTAGTCGTCTCTTACGACACCCACGGGATGAATAGGGGTGGTGACATTCCGTATTCTTAATCCGTCACCACACGGAACACGGAACGAAGTACACCGTGATCTTATTTTTTAAAGTACGTTTATCAATATTTGTTTTCTGCCTAAGTACGTAAGTACTTCTTGTTATATTTGCGTTTGTTAACTAGAGGAATAGGTATACTTTTCCTCTTAAAACGAGTCATAGATAAACATTAACTGAATGGTAGACATACCTCCATTCCTCTTTGCGATTCCGTTGTTCTCTACTATGGGCTGTCCATCAGCGTTCGTAGCGGTCTTATATATTTTAAGTTCACGAACCATGTAGTCTGAATATCTGCAATCAACACAAAATTGTTCGTAAAGAATTACCGATAGGATAGTTTGTAGAAGAAAGAAAAACGTTTATTATTGACAACAATAGCAAAAAAGGTGTTAGATGCCATACATTTATGTAGGTATATTAATCAATAACTGCCAAATATCAATCGTTGGGTAGTGGACCTATAGGCAGGATCACTTCGTCTGACCGGAGGATCATGCCTTTGTTAATTTTTATACAAATTCAGTGCTAAATGGTTGTAGCCTTGAAGCTATCCGAATTAAATTAGGGCTAGCAAACCCGAGTAAATCAAATTTAGATCAGTTAGAAGATTCTTTAACTAACCGTTTTTCACAGACATGATGAACAGTAATGTTGCCGAAGGTTCTAGATGTTCCCTCATCGGGCCAATACTTAGAGCACTTAATCTTGGAATACTCCTCGAGGTTGGTCAGCATTACGATGATCTCCAATCCCAGTTCCCATATCATGCGCCAGAAGTCATTGCAGGTTGTGTCCGTGGGGCCTTGTGCGCAGATGTATTGTTTCCGCTCCTGTCAACAAAAGTAAGGATCTGATTGAGCATTTATTGAGCTGTAAAAAACGACACCACGTAAACTGAACTGAACCATTCAAAAGACCAAATCTGAATAATTTCAGTGGCCTTTTGAACATTTACACATTTATTTTACTTTTAGTGTCTACAAAATTGTAACAGCATAGATTTATTACAAGCTACAAAATTAATATAAATAAGATAATGGATGTTTAGCTCGCTCCAAGTAATCCTTTGATTAGTTGAGAAACAAGAAAAATGCAAACAAGTTTGCCGGGATTTCGAGACTCCTACCGGGCCAACCCTGAAACCTGATTGTTTTTTTTAAAAACAACCATCACATTAGGAATATGTCGTGTGTGCGGGGACTTGACAAACATACATGAAACGGACACAAAGAACACCTAGACTCAGAACGACAATTTGTGTAACACAAAGTGTCGTCCCATGTGGGTATTGAACCCACAACACTCAGCGCAGTAGGAAGCGGCGTTTGTTATTAATATATAATGACTGTATATTTTTCAATGATAGTCTGACCTAAAAAAAAACACTATTAACAAAAGGCGTGATTCTCAGTTCGTTAGTCAGTTCAGATCAGTTAAACACAAAATACATAATAATTACAAGTGAAACACAGTTAAAATTACATTTTGTTTTAGAAAAATATATACTTAAAGATGTAGCCAAGGTATACGTATACGTGCCGTACGTATACGTATACTTTATATATTGCAGTAGTTCAGAATACATTCGCTATTATCCAGGCAAAGTCTTACAAAATAATGAACATGCATCGCAATACCTGATTGCACTCCAAGGACTCCTTAGTAAGCGAAGGACAAAAGACGCACACATTAGATCTTCTCACACTTCACACAAGAGGAAAGGCTAGCTAATAGACATGTGATGGTTTTATGGTGGGCATTGACCGGAAAAGCAAAGTCCTCACTAACACAACTGTAAGTGTACAAATGTTTCGTTGTGTGTTGTCTCTTTAACTTATGAAGTAACTCTTTGTCTTTTTAAGAAAAAGTCTACCATGTACCAGGCAAATAACCTGTGTAGAGGGGGACTTTACAAACATTAATGAAAAAGACTCAAAGAACACTCAGACTCAGAACAACGATTTGTATTGTCCCAGAGCTGTCGCAGTAGGAAGCGGAGAGGTGACCACTTAAACTACTACGTCTTGTAAATTTCACAAGGGCTTACACGTACAGGCTGCGTAAGAGCAATAGCGTTACAATTATAATTCAATACATTTCCTCTTAAATTGAAAGTTCTGTTACTCATTTACTAGAGCTTCCGGTCAGTACTCACTGCTATAGATGGCAGTTCACATTTCAAAACTTACTGTTAAATGGCAAAGGTATATTGTGCTCACTCGTTTAAATTAAATGGCACTTGTTTACAGATGTTACATGTCGAATACAATTATTGGACTATATTAAATTTAATCATTTAAAATAACCAAGTTCTTTTACAGGTCAACGTTTATTATTATATTCCAGCTTGGTTTGAACGTGAACCACTAATTTTACAGCCGCTGTAAGCATTATAATACGGGTTTGTACAAAAAAAAAACTTAAGTTGTAGATGCACATAAAAAATAAAACAAAACTGTCTATAGTAAGTTCTTTTACACGTGCACGATAGGCCTAACTGCATATAAAAGCGAATGCCAAAATGGGCAAGATTGCACATGCAGAAAAGCTGGGTTAAGAAGAATTATCTAGTAAGAGCTGCGCTTTACTTAGGCTGGTGTACTTATTTCAAATTGAATTCTATCATACATTATGCTTATCCTTGAACTTCTTGTTTATATAAGGAAGCAATAGTTTTTTTTAGCGAATTGACATCGCAGTGAATTTCTAGTGCGACTAACGAGTTATAGAGTGATTTCTTCTTTGTTATAGTGAGTGTTTGTAAATACAGTGCAATAAAAGTAATTAACCGACAACTTTTATTACTATAAATATACTTAATATTTGTTAAAAAAAAAAAAACAATTTTAATAGGAACACAAAGGAAGTTATAATTACAGTTAGAAAATAAACTTATCTCTTAAAGAAACAAATTATATAATTCATAAAAACATGCTTGATTTTTTTTCCTTTTAGAACAATATGCATAAGAATTATGACGCAGAAAAATAAAGGATGAAAACGGTGAGTATTCACCAAAGCGTTGTGAATACCACTCCAGTTTTAGTCGCACTGAAGAATCTTAGGAGTCGCTATATCTAATACATTTTTTTTTTACTTTTTAAAAGACTTACCTGATATCCCCGGACATAATTGGCGTTGATATAATCCGATCCATTGATGCTGTCTATCTGTGTTAGTTTGACCCTGGTCTGGTCGTAAGCTTTGATATCTGGATATCGGTTCTTAGGCTGGTTTTCTCTAGCTTCAGAAGCGTGACAGGTTCGGTCGGGAAAGCATTCCGGTAACATCTGTAACAACTTCGATGAAGGTAACATTTATTATAAAAAACACAAATATGATGAGATCGAGATATTGCACGTTTTAGAAATTTCTGGACTATTGTGGAGTTCGCTTAGGTCCTAACGTGTGCTAACGAAATAGTGACTAATTATTAGCATATATACAGAGTATTATCATAATGAAGTCATTAGTATTTGAACTATCGTCGATCAAGCCACTAAGTCCGGAAGAAATTGTGAAGTATGGAGAAAATCGAGTTCCGTGCGGTTATAAAGTTCCTTACCAAGCAAGGAAAAAGTGTGCAAATCATATTGGAAGAGATGTATTGTCATCTGTTACGGGGAATCTTGTCCTTGAAAAACCATGATATACAAGTGCCACAACCTTTTTAAAAAAGGCAGGGAATCAATTGAAGGCTATTCCCGATCTGAGCGGTCTGTTAAAGTCACCACTCCAGATCACTACTTGGATTAATATTGAAGGATGCGCGTTTGAAGAAAAAACAACTCGCAGAAATAGTTACGAGTATCTAAAACAACCATTTTTAAGGAAATACATAATCATATTATCAGTCCAACCGAAGTCAGTGCGAGATGGGTGAATAGAATGCTCACACCGTGTTCGCGTGCGTTTTTAACCAGTGTAATGAAGACATGGATGGTTTTGCCGTGACAACGTCTTATCGATGGAGCCGGCTTCACGCACGAAAAAACATGACTCATGCGGCGTTACCTCGCTCTGAGGCGTTCCATTTAAGGCGTGAAGTGCAAGCGAGAGCGCGGAACGAGCGACAAAGAGGCACAATCGGCCTCCGCGTTCGGCAGCGTTCGATATCTGTCTCTCTCCTACTTGAGTGAGCGATGCGTCCGCGTGGACAGCAGCTACTCGTATACAATAATACATTTTTGAAAAATGCAACCATTCCATCATTATTTTCTTATGACGTTGTCACGTTCAACTATCGTCAGTAAACCGACTTTACAGACAACCGATTTTTTGGAGCGAATTGATACTGATGATGAAACTTGGGTTCATCACTATGAGCCTGAGTCTAAGCAAGATTCCATGCAGTGTTATAAAAAGAGTACAACACCGCCTAAGAAATTCAAGGCGTCGCAGTGGCAACCTGATGGCGACTGACATCTCAGACACACAAGGAATTTTATTGATTGATTATAAAAAAAAAGGTGTTTCTATAACCGGAGAATAGTACACTTTAATTTTAGAGCAGTTAAAAGAGGCTATCAGAGAGAAAGGAAAAGGATAATTAACCAAAGGTGTCCTTCTTTTTGCATGACAATGCACAAGAGTCGACTTGATATCATTGATCACTAACCTTATTGCCTAGACTTGGTTCCCAGTGACTAATCTCTGTCCAAATCTGAAAAAAGAGCTTCGTGGAAAGAAATTCTCTACCGAGGAAGAAGTGAAGGATGCAGTTTCAGCATATTTTTCAGAGATGGATAAATATTTTTTTTATGAAGGTATTCACAAGTTAATATACACCATAAAAGTTCTATCAGTACTTACTTCGAATTCCTTCTGGAAGCCGTAATCGGAGTCGACCTGCCGCTTAAGGTACTCCATCGCGAGATCCTCCTTAGCTATTGGCGGTATCTCCGGTGGCAGCTGTGCGGCCATCGGTCGGTGACCACGGATGCTGTCCCAGTACCTACAAAATTACATTTTTATTTAATTATTCGAAATTATAAAAGTGTGTGCCGTTTAAATATATTTATGCAACATCTTAAACCAAAGCTTTGTATTTTGTATTTGTATTTATATATGTATTTGTATATTGTTACTTTGTAACTTATATTTAATAAATTCACATTTTCATAATTACATTTTTGGAATAATCGAAGAGGAAACACAGGATATATTGCTACGTAAGTTTACGTTGAATAAAACAACGCATTAGGCCTATACAACTGATTTGGATGACAAAATAATTGTCTTGTATAGAAATTAAACAAGTCACACTCGACGGGGTAGTTGTTAATTACTTTTATTATTTATACACTGTCTTTTATCTCCGAAGAGGTAGACAGAGGAATTAAAACGGAACTTTTACACTTAGGAACTTAAATTATATTACAACGAATAATATTACAATAACACGGTTGAATTAATGCTGCAACTTCATCCAGTCTAAATCTAAAGCCTAAATTAAGTCTTAACTGGTTAAACCAGACATACCTTATAGCGGCAGTGATGGGGTTGTGCAGTTCGAATTGTGCGTGCGGCTGCATCTTGCGCGTGCGCCGTGTCTGCAGGATGCAGAACGCGATCATCAGCACCAGGATTATACCGGCCACGCCACACGTTATCTGAAACATTTTTATGTCAAATCTCAAAAGGGTCAAATTTTACTCTTCGGAAATCTTCAATATGTTTTTGAAAAGTCATCAAAATCGGTTAAGCCGTAAGCGTAACAGACAGCTAGGCATAGATGAGCGGCAGTGGGTCACCTGCAGAGCGATCTCCAGCGCCGAGGCGGGCAAGGCCACGGGCGCGCTGGGCGCGGCCTGCAGTGCCGACGTGTAGTCGCTGAAGATGGACTCCTCGCTCTCCACCTCCGCTGTTGGACACCACAGATAATATTAGGTAAGCTACAAATGAATAAAGCATGACTAACCTATTCGTCTATTGGTTAGTGAATCTGACTCTTTAAACCGACACAGACAAAATAGCGATTATTTTTCTATCAGGATTTAATTTAACTATAATGTCTACGTATTTAGAAATAACTTAATATATCCATCAGAATGTCTGTTTATTCTAATACAGAATACCTAGTTTGGGATCAGACGGTCGTGTGCCAGATATGTCGTGGTTGTGTGTTATGGGTTCGATCCCCACATGAGACGACACTTTGTGTGATCCGCAAATTGTCGTTCTGAGTCTGGGTGTTCTTTGTGTCCTAGTGCGGGAGTGGTCTTTTTAAACAAAAAAAAATATCGCCCGAGAGAGCCTTAAGGCGACTTAAATGTAATTATAAAAACTTGTGTATACTTACAGATTAACTCAACAAACAACGTATAATTGGCGTTAGATTCGAGAGGCCCGTCTTTCACATTAATATTGTCTTTTACATCAGTCAACTTGTTAGACATCGTTGGGTCATTGCTGTAGTCACTGAAAAAAAGAATGTAAATTTTATTGCTGTCTTCTTCCATTATATATAAAGCAGGTGAAGTGCCTGTTGGTATAGTGTTAGGGATCTTGATTAGACCAGGGGTAGTGAACTCTTCTAGGGTATTCCTGGTTCCCCGGCTATTAGTACTCGAGACGGCGTGCGGTTTTAGTCGGTTCGAGTCCGACATGCCACCGACAGGTGGTATCCGAGGGGACTTCCGCACGAGAAAAAAAAAAAAAGGGGGTAGTGAACTCGATTTCCATCCATGGCAAATAATTGTGTAATGATGAGCACGATAATTTCTTTTGTTTTAAGGTATTCTTTGTGTATAATATGTATATATCTAGAAATATATATGGCAGATAACTGTCACGGAATCCGACGGCCGTTTGTAAGATGTGTAAAGTGATATTTTATTTATAGACAGAATGAAAGAAGAAAGAAAGAAAAATACTTTAATTGGCACATTTTACAGGATTGTTACATATTTCCAACAGAGACATGTATAAAATACATCTGTACCAATATGGACCACGACTCAGCATAATGCTAGGCGCAATGCACCTAGCGCTGGTTTTCAGCGCAGCCCAAGGGTGTTGTCCGCGTGTCTGTTTGATGGAGTAAAATAATCGATCATTATGATAGTCTAGTACAGCATGTTATAAAAAAATATTGGTTTGAGAATATTCCGAGAACGATAGACATTAGACATTACATCAGTTGCTAAACACGGTCCAGTTATCAGACACTTCACACCCGTGTGAGCGAGACGTTCAAGTACAGCCGAAAAATACTAAAACTCTGCTTTGGGAATGCATAGAAGTCTTCAAATGTCGTATTTTAGATGAATATAACAGTTTTATGATACGTTTCATTTAAAAAAATATAATAATAGCACTGTAGTAACCGATAATTTGAAAAGGTAATACATGCGTACGTCACAACATATATTTACAGGAATAGTAATTTCACGTTGACTATGACGATGGTATAAAAGATAGCTATAGCGGAGTGGTGGTTATATGTGGAGCTATCTATATAGCTATCAAATGTCACTATTCAACGCAATTTTTGTAGCAGTGTGTGTATCTATAGCATATATTTTAAAGTAATCATATATTTTAAAGTAATCTAAAAGTTGAACTACGTGTCGGTAATGTATGTGACACAATTTATCTCTCGTCTCTTTCTATCGCTACAAATTACCAGTAAACGACAGTAAGAGAATGAGATATAAACACGTCTTAAAATTTAGTATATAGGAAAAAAAAACCACTGCTACATACCCATCAGAAGCAGATCGCCTATCCCTCTTAGGTGCTGGATCTGTTGGATCCTCTGTCATATCGTATTCAACGAGAGAATCGACGAGATCGTCTGGTGTGGTGACGGTAGTACTGGTGGTAACGGGTGGCGGCGGTGGTGGTGGTGGCACCCACTTGTGCTTTTTCAGACATCGACGACACTTCTCACTACTTAATTTTTGGTCCGACTTAGGATCAAATATGGATTTTTCATCACCTAGTACTATTTCGGAATCTGAAGGAAACTTAGCACTGAAAATAAAAATACATGTTTAAACGTATAATAACAAATATTTTGAATGACCACTTTATAAGTCCAAAGCTCATAACTTATATCACTTAATAACACTTAACAGGGCGCTATTGACGCCTACGATGTTGTAAACTAACAGTACATAAAGAACCTTTAGTTTTTTTTTGTATCCTACACATTAATTAATCGCTTGTTTACAATTTTTTGCTCATTTTTTTATATTGTTGGTGGTGTTTTTCATCTTTTAGTAAGTGGCTACCGCAGCTCATGAATACACTTTCTCATTCTACAATTATGTTTGTATACATAAATGGGAGTTAATGATATAACTAACAGTTATCCCATTCCTATGAACTGTCTGACGTTGAAAATGTGTGCTTTTCAGAACGATTTGTTCAGATGGTGACGATTGGCTAAGATACAAATCTGTATAATAGTGGTCATATCTACCACGGAAGTCTTACACAATCAGGCATCTACTATTGACTTTCAGCTAAATAAATAATAAAAAGACTCTTACTTAGAAAAAATATCAGTGACGTAAGCTGTCACCGTTTGTGACATTTTGTGTGCCTCTTCGTAATCCACGACGTTTATACTCCGAGGCGACGAAGGTAACTTCTTCCAGTCCATGCCTGGCACTAGACGGACCATGTACACTCTATAAAACAAAAAGTATAAAAAAGGTAAATCAATTTGTAAATTGACTGAAGTCAATTCAGTTTTGTTTTTATTAAAAACCTTAAAAGTCAAAACGGCAAATTCTGCAAAAACTTTTATAATACTAATAAAAATGATTAACTTTGAATGTCTTTGCTTTCGCAATTAAAAAAAACCTAAAAATAACTAACAAATCCAACTATTTCTTCATTCTTCAATCTTACACTAGTCTTACAGATATAAAACTTAATTTTTTAAGAACTGTAAATAATTAAGGGGTGATTCTATTTTGAGCTTACCTATAGCAACATATAGGGCCGTTCCTCTCCGAGATTCTCGGTAAATACATCTTAAACATGTAAGTATCGTTCTCCAAAATCTGAAAGATAATACTGAATACTTATACGGCTTACCAACATACCAATATCAATTCATTTTTTGTAATTTTTTTAATTGACCAAAATATTATTTGATAAAACTTATTCTCTCAGCATCTAAATTCTTATGATCGTATAATATTTTAGAAGAAGACATTCACATTTTACTCTTTTAAATATCATCATCATCAACAGCCTTTAATAGTCCACTACCGGACATAGGCTTCTCCTTAGAAAGGAGGTTTAGGCTTACTATATCCTTTGGCCAGGCGGGTTGGTATAGGGTTTGTTTTAATTTTTCCTTCTCTTTGCAGTGCTGTTGTCCTGCAGAGTTGGCTGCCTTAGTCGTCTCTTACGACACCCATGGGATGAATAGGGGATAGGATGAATGGTGACACTCTTTATAGTATAGTATATATATATATATAGGTATAGTAGGTCATAAACGTAAAGGCTGTTGATGTGATGTGAAAGTATTAGCAGTGGATGAACAGTTGAGAAGCAACAGGTTATCCTGGTTATAGACATGTCATTCATAGAGATGAGCAAAATGTAGTAAAGAAAGTATTCTGTATGGAAGTTGACAGATATGAGAGTAGAGGTTGAACAAAGAAAAGATCTATTGATTGTGTGAAAGAGGATATGGCTAGAAAAAGAGTAAGCAGTGAACTAACGAGTGATAGAGCAGAATAAAAAAAACTTATTGCGTTGACCTGAGATTTTCCAGGGAAAAGAATAAGAAATATATACTAAAGTTATAATGGTTTTGTTACCTTTCTCCATCGCGGTTTAGGCGGTGCGTCAGGTATGGTTGGATATGTTTGGCAAGTGGCAGTACCTTCCTCTCCTCGCCGCCGTGTCCGTGTCATCGCGCTTACGTGCACCGTGTACAGTGTATTGGGTGTCAGCTCGTTCACCCTGATGGTTAAAATATTTACTTATGAGTGGATGATAACTAATCATATTAATAGTTTTTTTTTAAAGATCTAGTACTGTTTACAGAAACAGACCCAAATATTATTAGCTAAATAATCGAAGAGTGAGGTGTGTTATAGTTAATTTATACTGAAATTCAGAAGACAGCAGTTTATTAGTTACAATAGCATACTATTCTGTTTTTAAACAAGTGGAGTAGTTTACTAGGGTTGGGAGGGTCTCGAAGAAATCAAAAACTAATAGAATATTAAATTGGTAAGTTATAACTGATACAGCTAGGGTTGAAAGTGACTGCACGGATTCACTGTGACTGTGAAACTGCACGGATTTGTGTGATTCACAAATTGTTGTTCTGAGTCTGGGTGTTTTTTGTGTCCGTTTCAGGTATGTTTGTAAAGTCCCCCGCGACATAGGATTTATTCCTAGTGCGGGAGAATCCTAGTGCGGGAGTAATCTTTTTAAAAGAGAGAGAAAAAAAAGAAAGTGTTTGTGTCTAGTAGCTGTCCCTGGAGGCAAATAAACTGGACTATTACTATTGGGACTCTAGCTCTCTATCGTTATTGAGAACGATGTACTGTATTCCACTATTTAAATTAGTCGAAAACCACTTCAACATCCCGCGTTCGTTCTAGAGCCACGCACCGTGTTATTTTGACGGTAAGCTGTTTAGCGACTTAGTTATACAAAAAATAAGCGACAAATCGATAAGCTCCTAACAATACCGAACTAAACACAACTAATTATTATTGTAAATTGCATTGCCGACGAAACATTGTATTGTAATCTAGATTATAGATCTCATATACCTACTTAGTTATAACAAACAAAACCATTGCGTTCATAACTTTATAAATAATAGGAAAACGAGCAGTCACCGTTAAAAATTCAACAGTAGTGAAACCACAGGATACGATTAGTAGCATAAATATAATGCACAGTTCAACGGAATTTCAACATTGAAGGCTATTATGCCAATTTTTTTTATACAAAGCTTGTGAGATAAAATATTTTTATAGCAAAACTCAGTATAAGGTAAACTAATAAAATTAAACAAATGAATGCTTATCCTGTTTAAATATTAACATGAAATATTGAGTACATTGTACAATATCATTGTGATTCTAAATTTATGCATGTGACATAGACATTGTTATCAAGAGCCTGCAGTCAAACAAAGTACTTTAAACTTTAACTTACTTATAAATTCTTTTGATTGGTTAAGCATTTGGGACAAGATATACAGTACCTGATGCTGGTAGATTCATTGGTCAAAAACTTTGATAATGGTCCAAATGTAGCCCTCTTATTATAACCGTAGCGATCAACGAAATCCGATGTACCAGTTATTTCAACCTGGAAAATAGTTAAAGATAAATTGGATAAATACGTAAAAAATATCTACAGCGTCAATTAATAAATAAAGAGAAGAAAATTATTGGCAAATTTTGTTGCCATGGTGGTCAAATGTCATACATTGGGACTGACACTAGGGACTAGTCGATTCCCTCTCCACCCAGTGTGTATGTATATGTCAGCACCTCAAATAGTTCATAAATAAGCCTAAAACTTATTTTATCTATGAATAAACCACATTGTACTAACAGCACTTGCCTTCTAACCACTACTGTGTATTTTGTTTGCGGTTACAGACTTATATTTTTAGAGCGGAAGTGTTATGTTTGTCTTTCAATGCCTGCCTGAAAAAACCTGCTAAACTTTCGAGAATCGATTCCGATCGGACGAAATATATTTAAAAGGAACATTACAGTGTGTAAATCAGCCTCGCACAGTTTTAATTGATATTTCCGAGCCTTAAAGTTATTATTTAAAAATATCGGTATCATTAAATTATTGGTGTCAATAAATAACAAGCTTTATTGACACCAATAATTTAATGTATTATCATCGAATTTTCACTGCTGGGCTACTGCTCATCATCATCAACCCTTAACAGTCCACTACTAGACATAGGCCTCTCCTTAGGAAGGAGGTTTTGGCTTACTATACCACGCTGGCCAGACGGATTGGCATAAGGTTTGTGTCAAGTTCTCCTTCTCTCTACAACTGGTGGTTTACATAAATTGTCTAACTTGATACTTACTGTATATCCTTTTATTTCAGCATTGGGATTTAAAGGAGGTTTCCATGTTAAGTTAAGGTAATCAATATTACAGACAGCAGTCACATTGATAGGCATACTAGGAACACCATCCAGGGTGGCTGCCTCCATCTTGTCAGATAATGGTCCACACTTCTTTGCATAATCAGAACATGCTTGCACCTGTAAAAATAATATTGAATGAGTGATAGAGAAAAATATGATATTGGTGGCATAGCTTGAACAAAGAGTTTTACCGTATTTACACCTTCGAGGGATGGCTTACGAATGGATGGACAAAATTCGCTCCTTTAAAGATGAGTGGAAAAATCTATGGGAAGCCAAACAGGTTGCTCACGAATATTTATATAAATATATATTTATATAAATTTTCTTTTATCGTAAATTTCAAATTCCACGTTTATATGTTAAAAATGTACTCTTTTTGGTCAATGAATAAAGGTTTTAGTTATTGTCATTAGTGTGAAGATTTATATTTTTTCTGGTAATTCCAATTAATATTGTAAATAAGATTGATTGCATTTTAAAAAAAAAAATAGATTTAATTTCTTTTAAAAAAAAAATATCTTTGTGTGTTTGTAAAGATATGAAAAAGCTTAATGTTTAAATTTATGTAACAGACAGGCTTAATTAAAATTATATTTTATTACAATCGCAATCGCATAGCTATAACTAAATACAATCAGTATAATTGGTTACTGAAGCAATACAAATGTTTACCTGAAACACGTAGGTGCTGTGTGGTTTTAGATTGGCAAACATATAAGGTAGATCACTGTCGTCCCTTGAATAGCAGGTCTTGAAAGTAGTATTGGATTCGCCCTTCTTTGTAGCAGTCAGCTCGTAGTAATGTATAAGTTTAGCAATGTGTGCTGGCGGAGCTTGCCAGCCAATGGTCACAGATGTAGCGGAAAAACCATTAATAGATATATTCGGTTTAAATTCAGGTTCTTCGGCCAAAGTCGTTACATTTTCAGGATAAATATTAGATGATCTGCCGTACGCTGTCTTTACCTCCAATTTAATTCTGTATGTTGTATTTTTTTCAAGATCATTTATTACAAAAGAGGTATTTTCTATATTTATTTTCTGTGGTTTGTACACGAAGGTTGTATTTCCCGCTAAAGCATAACTTAGTGCATAGTTGTCTATTTTTGAATTATACGTCTGCACGGTCCAATTTATGTATAATTCTGTTGTATTTATCGGTATCACCCGATCGATGATAAGCGTGGGGGGTGCATAGATTAGCACTTCTATAGTGCCTGTAATGTTATTGCCAGATACTGTATCTTCAACTTCGCAAATGTAGATACCCTGATCATCTTTGTGTAAAATATGGAGATGGTAGATACTTTGGACCTGTTTTACTCCTATCGTTGTTAATTCTGAATCTTCTTTTAATAAAGTATTTTCCTCTGGAGTTTTGCCTCGCTTCATCCATTTGACTACGACAGGATTGTACACTGTAACGAAGTTTAGAATAACGTGAGAACTCGCGGTCAATGTTACAAAATAATGTTATCCTTGGGATGTCTTATACAGAGTCTGCCCAAGGATAAGGCAGTTCCTGTATAGTAGGGTTATCTTGCCTATCAGCTATTGATACTTAGACACACACATATGTTTAGCAACAAATTTTGTCTTGCAAATGAAATAGACATGTAAATTTAACATGGTCGAATCCGGGATCCATGACGTTGCAGTCGAATGTACCCACCGAGTAGTAAATTTTTTTTTTTTGTATACTGTCAATTGAAAGTTACCAAAATTAAACCAAACAGTTTATGAAGGATTCCTTACTAGACGCAGGGCAAGGCACCATTAAAATAAGGTCTTCGATTACAGATAACACAAAATTAATCATTGGCCGTCAAGTCTGATCCGAATTAGATTTCATACAAGAGATGAACTGAGAAAAAAGAAAAACAAAAGGAGGCCCAACATTTTCTGTATTTCTCTATTTTAGCCAGGCATGGGGTCACCATGTGGCCGTATTGGAGTAAAGTAAGAGTATAGTAAAAAAAAAACAGTGGCACATAGGGACCGCCTACAGAAGTAAAAATTTATACAGTTATATATATATAGAGGTGTCGATAACGATAACAGTAACAGTGTCATCACTTCATAAGTTTAATGTTTTTTCTCATAAAATACATTCTTTTGTTTGTTGTAGCTAATATTAGCTTCTATTTAGGCTTTTTGTGGTTAATGTGGTGTTGGGTTTTATCACAATCAACCTTTATGTCACTACGTAACATCTCTATTATAACCATAAATATTGTGTATATTACTACGAGAAAAGTTCGGCAAAAATGACTAATAAAACCTTTTAAAACTATAACGCATCCTTGTCCTACATCGGAAACTCACAAAAGATACTGCATTATGGTACCGTAACATATAAAATAGATTTGTTTAAGCTTTTAATTTTCCGTAATGAGATTAAATTGAAAGAGTTGACAATATTCAGCATACATTATATTAAATTATATTAACACAAAGGGATTTATAATTTAATTTTAATTCACGATATTACAATATATTTAATCATCATCATCATCATCAACAGCCTTTAATAGTCCACTGCTGGACATAAGCCTCTCCTTAGAAAGGAGGTTTTGGCCTACTATACCACGCTGGCCAGACGGGTTGGTATAGGATTTGTGTCAAGTTTTCCTTCTCTCTGCAGTGCTGTTGTCCTGCGTAGTTTTTTCCCTTAGTCGGCTCTTACGACACCCACGGGATGAATAGGGGTGGTGACACTCTGTATTCTTAATCCGTCACCACACGGACCATATATATATAATTTAATATATTTAATAGCAAGAAACAATTGTTTTAAATTTTATGTGCCACAATAATCGTGAACAAACAAGCCGGCAACTAAGTCTGCTAAAACATTTGCTGATAAATGACTTCTAAGAATAAAAAAAACAGTAGCACTTCGGGAGTGCCGACAGAAATAAAAACTTATATGCAGAGGTGTCGGTAACGGTAACGATAACTATAACAGTGTCGCAAGTTCAATTGTTTTTTCCAATGTCAAAAAATGCCAAAGGGGCCTAAAGAAGTTTTCACTTCAGACAGATGAGTCGGTAACGGTAGCAGTGTCGCGAGTTCAATGATTTTTCTCCCATAAAATACATTATTTTGTTTGTTGTTCAAAAATGCTCAACGCGTCTAAAGTTTTCACTTCAAAAACTTTATGGGAGAGCTTCAGTGAAAACCAGCGTTAAGCAATTCATTCGTTGCTTTTCACCGAGTGAGTAAGGTTATCGGAACCCGAACCCTCCCTCTAGATGATTCTGGTAGGGAGGGACTTAAAGGGCACAACGCATGAGTAATCGTGAGTTGCAGATGTCTCATCTTTCAGTTTTGTATTTCATAGCACTAGGAATAAATTCTGACTTTGGGACTTTACAAAGATACATGAAACGGACACAAAGGACCCCCAGACTCAGAACAATTTTATTTTTATCTTTCGTTGATTTCTCCAAATTTTCATAACTCCGGTGAAGTTATGAAAATGTATGTGTGGATGAATATGAAGTATGGATCAGTTCGTACCACCGCAAGATTATCAATTACTTATATACAGGATAAAAACGTACCAGCCACACTTGGTAAGTAAATAAACCTGTGAGGTATAGTATAAAGTAATAATAAAATAAATTATAGTTCATCATCATCATCAACAGCCTTTTAGTCCACTGCTGGACATAGGCCTCTCCTTAGAAAGGAGGTTAGATATATTGCGAACTACGCAGGAGAACAGCACTGCAAAGAGAAGGAAAAGTTAACACAAACCGTATAACAAGCCGTCTGGCCAGCGTGGTATAGTAGGCCAATTATAGTTTAAAAAACTAAAAACACGCTTTTATAACTAGACCAACTAAAAAGTAGAAAATAATATTCTATAAGTAAAATAATAAATTATTTGTAAAAATGCGTGGGGTGCTCTCAATTGTTGTAAAAATATTTTATTGATAGACATTCGTAAAAGTAAAGTTATTATATTATTAAATATCTTGAAAAGCACATCACGCTTTTTTTTTTAAACTATAATTTATTTTTGCTTTTTTAGTCATTACTGATGATCATTTTCTCATTAAGACTAAAAAATAACAAGTTTGTAAGTCACATTATGCTTCAGCATACGCCCTCTTAGTACGAAGATTCTGATCAGGATGATCGGCCAAAATTTATAAAATGACTGTATTGTCATCGGTCCTTGATAAATGTGAAAAGTTTCAATTTAATTCGACGTTTTGAAGTGGGCCAAAATTTCGAAGTTCGAAAAAACCTTCGAAGATTCCGTTACATACAATACATACCAAGTTAATAAAAGCTAATAAACTTACTAACAATTAATTACTAGGAAGTAAACACTAACCTTCAAAATCACACATCATGGACACATTACTGTGATCAGTATAATTCACCTTGATGCTCCCCGTGGTCTTCAAGAGTCTACCATTAAAGCTCAAATCTAGAAGTTCGGTCTGATTGGCAGTGTTTTCACCAACTTTTGCCAGGCATGTGTAGTTGCCGGCATCGTCGTAGGTGAGGTTTGATATGCTGATCGTGGATACGATGGTTTTGTTTTGGGAGCCATCGCCGTCTCTTCCAGGCAGTAGTCCTTTGTTGCTTGTAATGTTTATCCTAGTGAAGTGCACTTTGTTTACTACAGATTAAATAATATAAATTTATGTATACTAGCTGTACCTTGCTACGCTTCGCTGTGGCGCATTATGGTTGCATTGATAAGAAATGAGGAGCAAAACTGACGTGTAAAGTAGATAAAAACAATCTTTGAAACGGTTTGCATATCTTGTCAAAATTTGAGCTCAATCGGTGCAGAACTTTGAGTTTTTGAAGCGTAGAAAAACCAAGTTAACATTTTTATATTCATAGAATATATAGATGTTTGTTAGATGCATAATAAGACCGCCTACGTGTACCGGAGCAACGTAATGTTGCATACAGTGGTATAAATAAATGATATTACCGTGCATTTGTTACCCTTGCGACTACGTCGGCAAACTCAAGACTGATTATAAAATCATTGGTATCGAATACATTAACTGTGAAAACTCAAACCAGAGGTTATATTTGAATATTTTTTGTTGGAGTTTTAGCGATTCGCAACAGTAAATGATCTTTATTTCTTTCTTTTTCTTTTCTTTTAATAATATAGTTTTAATTTGAGTAGCGTTATTGTTAATTAAGCGTAGCAAGTGTTTGTATTTACCACATGCCTTGTATTTTGCCCGTTTTATGTTGTGTACGAGTATGTATGTTGTGTACGAGTATGTATGTTGTGTATGTATGCTAAGTTTAGATCACTGATTAGACTTAATATGTACCTACCTCCTAATGTTTTCTGTAACATGTAATAGCAGTATTCTGTAAGAGTGCCTAAATAAATAAATAAAGCCTGCTGCAGACAACGGGCGGAACGATACTGCGAGACGCCGCTAGAACATTTCAATTACTCACACCATGTCGCGGTACCACCCCATCCGCTGTCTGCCCACCCTTTAATAAACCATCAAAAAATTAATTCTAAAACATTATAAAAGATTTTTTCATCGTTGACAATGGGGGCCTCTACCTGATTGCCAGTCACAATTAATCTATGGCATGTTGGGGGCTAGGAAGAAGTATGATTTAAATTACTCTTTGAAATCTGTTACATTATCATCACGACTGCCAGATATAAATTTTCCTTAACGACTTGTAAGAAGACCACACCACACCATCTGCTGTCCTGCCATTTGTTTAAAGTCATCTGGCCTGATAGAGTAGTTGTTATGTACATATAGCTAATTTAAATGTAGATTTACCATATTTGGCTTTGCCAATGATTATATAAACATTGAACTACAAAAATCCACTTACCGCTCGTGACTTGTACTCTCAAGGCGTTTACCATTAAAGAGCCAGCTGATCGTGGCGTTCTCTGGGTAAACTTCACAGGTTACGTTCGCTGGATGCCCAACATCGCCTTTAGAGATAGTTGTGTTGGTAAAAATATCAACTGAATCTTGGGCTGAAACAAAAATTTTAGTTATTACTTTATCTAAATGTTGTTGTTTATTTTGATTACATAATACTTGTCCGTTCGTGTGGTGACGGATTAAGAATACGGAATGTCACTCCTATTCATCCCGTGGGTGTCGTAAGAGGCGACTAAGGGAACAAACTGCACAGGACAACAGCACTGCAAAAAGAAGGAAAACTTGAAAAAAAACCCTATACCAACCCGTCTGGCCAGCGTGGTATAGTAGGCCAAAACCTCCTTTCTAAGGAGAGGCCTATGTCCAGCAGTGGACTATTAGAGGCTGTTGATGATGATGATGATTAAGATATATAAAAAAGATAGATAAATATTTTCATTGCTGTTTATCTGAAGGTGCTCGTTTTAACTCCGATATTTTTTTTGCATCATTCTAGATTGATAATGATAAATTACTAGCCCAGTCATGTTTCTAAGTTAGCAACGTCACCTACGAGTATATGGGAGTTGAACAACAGCCTATAATAAGTGGACTATTATATCCAGCGAACGTAACCTGTGAAGTTTACCCAGAGAACGCCACGATCAGCTGGCTCTTTAATGGTAAACGCCTTGAGAGTACAAGTCACGAGCGGTAAGTGGATTTTTGTAGTTCAATGTTTATATAATAGTCCACTTATTATAGGCTGTTGATGTTGATGAACATAATACTTTGAAAAGACATTTTAAATTTTATTGCGTGTCACGATATACTACTCTGTGTAAAAAGTATCGGGAATATGTCAATAAAAAGACCCACGTAAAAGAGGTCGTTCTAATTTTTTTACTGCATGTTGGTAGCACTGTACTGATTAAGCGCGCAAAATTTGAGCGGGATCTGTCATTTAATTTGTTTTAAACTACATTTTTTGTTGGTGATAGTTTTGAGTCCTCGGCGATTTTTACAATGGAAAATATTGTTGAACAAAGAGTGTGCCTTAAATTTTGTGTTTCGAATGATATTTCTTGTGGTGAATCACTAAAAATGTTTCGAAATACCTACGGCGAATCGTTTATATCGAAAACAAGGGCTTATGAATGGTATAAGGCTTTTAAAGAAGGCCGAGAAGTAGTAGTAGACTTGCCTTGTTCTGGTAGACCTTCAACCGCTACGACCAAAGAAAACATCGACAGAATCAAGAAGCTAGTGCTCGAAAATCGACGTATGAGTCTGAGAGAGTTGGCTAGTGAGGTGAACATATCTTTTAAGTCCGTCCACAACATTCTCATTGACAATTTAGGCATGAAACGCGTCGCCGCTCGACTAGTTCCAAAAGAGCTTAATTTTGTTCGAAAAGCGCAGCGAAAGCATGTCGCTGAAGACATGGTTTCCCGATCTTTTACGGATCCGACCTTTATCAAACGTATAATAACTGGCGACGAGACATGGGTTTATGAGTACGACATGCAAACAAGCCAACAGTCTTCAGAATGGCGTCTCGAAAACGAGCCGAAACCAAAAAAACCGCGGCAAAGTCGCTCCAAAATCAAGGTGATGCTGACAGTTTTTTTTTGACTACCGTGGTGTGGTTCACTCCGAATTCCTTCCAGAGGGAGAAACAGTGAATAAAGAATATTATTTAGGCGTCATGAAGCGTTTACGTGAGAGTATCCGCCGAAAACGTCCAGATTTGTGGCAACACAACTCATGGATGCTGCACCATGATAATGCACCATCACACACAGCCATTATAGTGAAAGAGTTTTTAGCGAAAAATTCAACAAAAGTTCTCGACCAAGCATTCACCTGATATGGCTCCGTCTGACTTTTTTTTATTTCCCAAGTTAAAATTACCTCTTCGAGGAAAACGTTTTGAGTCGATAGAAGCCATAAAAGAAAATTCGCTGAATGAGCTAAAGGCCATACCGCAAACAGCCTATGAAAAATGTATGGAAGACTGGGTGAAGCGCTGGAGATGTTGTATTGCAAGCGATGGGGCCTACTTTGAAGGCGATAAAATAAATTTAGATGAATAATTTGTATTTTTTGTTTTATTGACAAATTCCCGATACTTAGTACACAGAATGTATGTCGGAGTACTGATTCTCGAGAAATCGAGGATCAGAAATCCCAGCTCTACCAGGTCCTCATAGAGGAGTGGAAAGAACAACTTGGTGCAACCAAGCGCCGGGCACGCCGTTATTGCATGGGTAAGACCTGTTATGGTTGATTGGCTCGAGAAGCAACACGGGACCCTCTCATACCGACTGACGCAGGTGATCAAGGGCAAAGGATGCTTCGGGGATCACCTGTGTCTGATACGCAAGGAGCCAATGCCGCAGTGTCACCACTGCGATGGCCGGAACGTGGACAGCGCGCTCGACACGCTGGCAGAATGCCCGGCGTGGTTTGAGCAGAGGCGTGACCTCGTGGCGGCCATCGGAGTGGGAATTCTCTCGCTTAGTACCATGATTGCGGCCATGGTACGGAGCGAGAGCGCGTAGAACGCCGCCGTCTCCTTCTGAGAGGAAGTTAAGCTTGCGAAAGAGACGGCGGAGTGGGACCGGGAGAGACTTAAAACTCTCCCGGTCCTTCAGGCCCAGGAACGGGCAAGCGGTACCTTGCCCGTTCCCGGGCCTGACGGACCAGGAGACTCAGGCGTTCTCAAAACGACCTCCGTCCTCCATAAGCGCAGGCCTGGGGTGACAGGTGAGGCCATCTAACATCCTAGCAGAAAAAGGCCGCTGTGGTGCGCGCGCGTCCGTTAGGTTGTAGAAGGGGAACACCTTGGTTCCCACACACGAGGGGGTCATCTACAAGCCGTTGATGGCCCGGGGGCCCGTCGAGGTTCCAGGGATTTTCTTCCTAGGGTACACCTGGTTCCGGCTACTGGTACCCGAGACGGCGTGCGGTTTTTGGTCGGTTCATGTCCGACATAACCACCGGTGGGTGGTATCCGAAGGGATTTCGCACACACAAAAAAAAGGGGATTTATCTATCTACTAGCTGACCCGCGCAACTTCGTCTGCGTCTCTCAATAGTAATAAATTTTCTCCGTTTTTGAAACATTCTTCATTGGTGCTCCGCTCCTATTGGTCTTAGCGTAATGATATATAGCCTATAGCCTTCCTCGATAAATGGGCTATTTAACACTGAAAGAATTTTTCAAATCGGACCAGTAGTTCCTGAGATTAGCGCGTTCAAACAAACAAACAAACAAACTCTTCAGCTTTATAATATTAGTATAGATAACAGCTAAGCTTTAAAATGCGTTTTTATATTATTAAATAACCACTACATACTTAAGATGCATTTTTTCGTGTGATTATATGAATCCTTATGAAAGTATTTCATCATCAAGATAGTTTCAAGTAGATAATTTATTTTCTTTGCGTCATTAAAATTGGTCAATTCCTTAAGCAGATATCATTTAGTTATGAACATTTAATTTCAAAGTGATGAGTACTAAATGCTATACAGGAACGTGGGCGTTGTCGAGGTCCGGGAAGGAGGCGTTAGGTATATGTGGTAAATAGATGGCGCCATCAATACTGTTAGGTTTTGCACAAAGTTCACGCCGGCGATGCAGCTAGTATGAAATAAACTCGCACTCGGACTAGCGATGACCGATTGTTCCTAAACTTTCAATGTAATGAATCGACAATTATAGATGCGTATATTCGAATGGTGTGAAAGTTTGATTCACTAACTTAAAATATATCACTTCAACCCATAGGCCCTTCTCACCAAGCCGCAAAAAATTAATTACCTGAACTCGAGTCGACGCGCGACAAGTGACAATTCGAGGGCATGACAATTTACGGCGTGCGGCCTGAAACTTGAGCGCAACACACTTTAAGTATGGAAGTGCTCATATAACTAGTCCAGAGTTGTTACCAAAAGCATAATAATATGTATTTTACTTGTTTGTCACTATAGTAATTTAAAACATTCACAATTTTGAACAATTCTGAATTAATAAATAGAATTTTATTACTACCTTGTTGGTAGCTTAATAATGCACGCAAACAGTACATCACATATTTTATAACAGTATTTGTATGCTCAGTTCGTTTGTTTGTTGTGTGTTTGCGAGTGTACATGCTTAACTTTCGGTTTGATTCAATAAAAATGGTTGACACTTTCGATTTATTCGAATGATTTGTTTTATGAATTCACGCAGCAATCACTATCGCGCATTACCATAATCGACGGACTATCGAAGAAAATTTGTAGTTATTCGAATGCATTCGAATAAATTTCACTATCGGATAATTCGATTGTTATTAGTAACAATCGATCATCGCAAACTCGGACCTCTGGTTTAGAGGCCCGACATCGTCGTTCGTTACTTTATATTTCTCCAACCTCTCGCTGGCCGTATAACACCTCCGAGACAACAAACTCTTAAATTATAGTTACTGCTATATTATGTGACTTGCTAGTAGTCATATTACGATAGGCTATATTATATTACGTTACTGTCTACGAGTGTTTTTCTTACAAATAAACCAGTATCAACTTTCTATCTCCCAATAAAAATGCAGGTCATTAAATAATCAGCATAGTACTTGTAATTATTAAATGTCAAGTAAGAATGTCAAAATAAAAGCCCTTCCAACAATATAATTTTATGCTCAATTTGACAAGATTTTCAATAAGTATCATGTGGAGCAAATTGCCCAATTCATGGTAATAACGTTGCCGTTATAGTCTAACTTGATCTTGTCAAAAAAAAAAAAACGATTCGTGTCTACTTTAATAATATACGTCGCTAATTTTACAGAATTCTCTGGTCGGTCGCTAATTTTGATCATTTTAGTTTGCTTGCAAAGGGCATACTGAGCAAAGATGTTACGATTTTTTTATGTTTTTCGGTTTTTAACGTGTTTTTTCAGAAAGGTAGATTTCCACATCCTACATATAATTCCATAGATTAAATTTATAATTGATACTTAATAATTCCACCTGGCCTGAAAATTTGGAATTGACGGCCAATTGAGAGCCAGAGCCAGAGTCAGAGCCAGAATTGAGGCCAGGTGGAATGACGATT